ATCAGGAGCTTGAAGGACCTGTAGATCAGGCTGCAGTTGCTGAGCTTCAGGATCAAGATGAAGACCCTGTGAGTGACTTGGAACAGAAGGGTGAAGCTCGCAATGATGAGATGGCTGACAAGGAGCAGGACATGGACAGGGCCCTGCAGGATGACGTGGTTGAAGATGAGGACCAAGAACAAGGCTGTGAAGTCTTGCTCTCAAGCGATGAGGAATTGCCAAACTTGGGACTCGAGGCTGGCATGATGAAGAACGTGATCAGGGTCAAAACTTTCAACACAAGGCAGGCTTGGATGACCCTTGAGAGCAAAGGCCTGACTGCCTTGCCGCGCCACGTTCGTGGCGTAAGCATTTCATATCACGCCGCGGAGCGGCGTTGGCAAGGTATATATCCAGGATCCACTGTGGGAATGAGTGCTTCTTGGGGAGGCTCCACAAATAGGAGCGAACAAGAAGCATGTTTGAAAGCCATCCGCAGTGTGCTTCAGGCTCATGTAGCAGCCAGCCCCAAAGACTCCATGTGGGCAGCACAGCTGAGGAAGGTGGAAGCAGCAGAAGCGACAGGAAGCTTCTGAGATCTCTCTATATTATATTATATATATATGTGTATATATATGTGTGTGTACATGTGCATGTATGTATCTATGCGCTTACAGTACCAGGAAGGTTAACAATGTTCAATTTTGTTTGTCGCAACATACATAAATATGAGCATATAGTGGATCCTGGTTTGCATGGGACCCTATTCAATGCACGGCTGACCTCAGTATGGAAAAAAAGGAGTTCTGCCTACTGGCATTGTTCCAAGTGTGTGGCAGGGCAGGGCTGTGTGTGAAAAGTCAAGGGATCTTCCAGTTTTTATGTATTTTTCCTTGTCATGTTCTAAGTGTGACCCCTGGAATGTTCTATGCGCATCACTAAGAACAAATAACTTTCTTGATATTTGTCGTGTTCTAAGTGTGGTTTTCAGAATTTTGGAAAAATTGTTCTAAGTGATTGTCCGTCGCTATATATATATATACACATATGGAACCGTAAGGAGTTCTTCAGTGTCCGTTGCATATTTGTTTGAAGCGGACCATTCTTAGCTCATCATTTAGGATGTTGCTATGTCATGGTGCGGCTTTGAAACGCCCGGCTTTTCTGCAACTGTCTCTCGATCTTTGTGAGTGAGACATGTGGGTACGTGACGCGTGAATGTGAGGGTACGGCCAACCAAACATGTTTGTGCTTTAGGACTTTAGGACCTTTTTGGCATGGAGGTGCGTGGAGCATTGCGTCAACCGAACGACCGAAAAAAATTACCAACACTCCTAAGAACACAGGAACAATCCGAAGAACACAGCGCAAAGTGCGATGTCATTCCATGTCATTCCAACTGAGGGAGCGGACATAGCTCCCCACCGACTTGCCACTGTAGCCTGGCCACCTGTCATACCAGGAGCGAAGGCCCAGCAGGGCTGCTTCTTGAATCATTTCTGAGTTTCCGCGGGTCGCGAGGTAGCTATAGCTTAGTTCACCATGTGCACAAGACTGAGCGGCATTCTGATCCCAAGTCATTCTGCTACTCAAAGGTTCTTTTCTAGATTTATAATATCAACTGATCGGTCCACCACTCACAACTAACAACATCAACTAAAACCAAAACGCTTCCATATCTTCCCCCTTTGCCTAAAGGCAGTCCAGTTCATCACCCGAACATCCTCACTGATGAGGGCATCCACCTCAGCTACCAACTCAAGGCCGACATGTTTGACGACGGAGATGCATTCTAGGTGATGCTATGAACTGCCCCAAGCATTCCTTCCAACAGCTCCAACATGTGAAGGATTAGGTTGGAGGCCATCGCCATTAAGTTGAAGCTCCTTTGCCTCAACACTACCGTGCCCTCTCCTTCCACAAGGAAAGCCTGGACTCCGAAACTCAGGCTCTGAGATTCTGGGCTACTTCTCGGCCTTGGCCAGCGTGTGGGAGTGACTCTAGGCTTATGATTCACGAGCATTGGAAAGCCCCTCACCTCATACAATGGTTCGGAAAAACTGACTGGGCTGTGCGGCAGGGTATGCCCTGCAATAATCTAGTCTGCTTTGGCTTTGCCCTGCGCCTCAGTTGGTTTTGCTTTGGCACACCTCTGCCACAAGCAACTCCAGCCGTGGCCCTTCGGTGATTACAGCACATGTCAGCAGCTAGAAGTACCGTTGCTGCCCCAATCAATTCTCTCAGCAGGTTAGGAAGCCATCGCGGTTACGCTCAAAATGGTGCTGAAACCCAGCTGGAAGCGTCTTGCCATCAGGTTTGTGATGTGCTGCATCACATCAAGAGGATCTACTTCACGTTAAGGTGAATCAAACGGCTCGTCGTCCTCCGCTTCCACGCCTAGCTTTAAAGCAGTGGGGCTGTTTGCATGGACAACCCGGGTGGCTGCCTTCTGGTCCATAATCCGGCGATCATGTGGAAAGGCCCAGTGCAAGAAGGTGTAGCACAAAAAGCAAACTGACCAAGGAAGAACGGTCGTCAGGGCCAATGCCTTGCCCAGGGCTTCGGCATTGTGATCTCCCGTCACCGGACTTGAATGCTGTGCATCCTCCAAGTTAAAGTTGAAGACTTTCTGGGCCAAGAAACCAACGGCGGCATTGCCCAAGCATGCAGCAATGGCTCCTTCCATAGCGCTTTCCCAGGCCATGATTCCACTCCTCGATTCTGGATCAACGATCTCCGAAAGAATAGGCCAGTTGACCCCAACAGCACACCAAGTGGCAGTAAGCCCCATGAACACCAAAAGGGTCGCATAGTACCAGAAACTTTGGTGATTTGCGGTGTAAATGAGAAAGGCACATGGGATTCCAGAAGACACGGATATGTTGGCTGCAAAGGGACGGCCATGATTTCTGCATCGCCCTGCCATCGCATCCCCAACGAATCCTCCAATCAAATTCCCAAAAGCACAGGATAACTGGAAGATTGTGGTGAGAGCTGCGGCAGATGTGTCAGAAAGACCGTTCACTTGAAAGTAGAATGTCGAGTAGGTCAAGGCATTCCATGGGATTGAGCCAAAAAGGCCTTGCGCAACCAAGCACAAAAAGGTCGGCTTCACGCAATAACTGGACAGCTTCCGTAGTTCAGCACCAACTGCGCATCTATGGTTGTCACTTTCTGGCATCTGGCAAGGCTCCCGTCTCACTTCTGGCATGAACGTGTGAATCAAGCAACCTGTGAGGGTTGCAAAGCCACCAAACATAACGAAGGCAGCGCGCCAACCGTGCACACCCAACACCAGTGTAGTCGACATTGGTGTTGCTATGCTTGCTGCTGCCATCATCCCCAATGTTACACAAAGCTGAAGATATCCATAAACCTTCCCGCGCGAGGATTCAGTGGTCGTGTCAGCAACTATTCCCACACACAATGGCTTCAAACTGGCCAACATCGCTCCGTTGATGCATCTCAGAATTATCCTTGACTGATCTCAGCATAGCTGAAAAAGTTCAACAAGTCTTTATCTGCGAGAATGGATGTCACAGGGAATGGGGGCCGAAACTCTGCCCTTGTTAGTTGTAGCCCTTAGTGCAGCCAAGTGTCATTCTTTCAAAAATGTCGGTGTTTGACAACAGTATTGTGCAAAGCCCTTGACTGGTCGCTCCTATGCTCAGCAAGCTCTTGCGCTGGATCACCCGACGGTCTGCCAAGATGCCCCAAAGGGGCGCAGCTGAGGCTTCACACACCGCCTGGGACAAACTCAAAATGGAAAGCTCGGTGAGATGAAGATGCAAATCTCGCCGCAAGGCATAGGTCACCGCAGGGAGCAAACCTTCAAAACAAGGAGGCAAAGAGGCGGTTGAAATTAACGTGCATCACAACAACCTTGCTTGTGGTTGTCCAATTCAAACTGAATTAGTCTAACGCATGCTGCATGCTGCAATATCAAGGGAAGGACCCACCCACCAAACAATAGAACTGACCTCTTCAGGACAGTGCCAAAGATCTCAGCAGCATATGTCCACATCATGTTTCCTCCCCAAACTCCAAAAACTTCCATTCTGGTATTCTGCAAACATGATCCCCCCAAACCACACCACCACCACCACCAACAACAACAACCCTATGCACAGCATTGCTCGGCAGGGCTCACGTAATATAATCTCAGAATGAGCATGAAATCCCCTGTTCAACCCCATTGGTTGGTGAGTAGTAGTTGAATCAAACGCCTGCCGTACAACGTCTTTTCAACTCCAACAGGTTGCAATATTCAATCTTCACTTCCTGCTGGGCACTAACAGGGATCCTTTTCAACTTCTTGCCGTGCACTAACAACAATCCTCCTTTTCCCGCGTGCGAGGTGAATTATTGCAAACTTCTGGGGGAAATGGTTGGGGGTACTCTCTTCATTAGGAGAAGTGTGTATACTATGGCCATGTGCACATTGAGCACATACAATACAGAGTGCTCAAGTTAGGGCAAATGTGTGAAAGTCTTGCACAGATCGGCACCTTTTGTCCCTATATAGTCCAAACACAATTTGCTCCTTCGCTGCCCAGGAGCCCATGTCTGCACCTTCAATTGCTGCAATGCAGCAGAGTTGGAAGACCAACCCGGTCGGTGGAGTCGTCTTCTGCAGTGCCTCAGGCCCTCCATCCGATTCTGACCCGCTGGCGTGGCCGCGAGTGTCCACGGACAAGTGCCCAGTCATCCAATGGGTTAGGACATGTTCATGAAGCTTTCTCAAAACGTGGCGAGCATGGCGCCAAAGGCTTCTGGACTCAAGATTTGGTCCAAAGGTCTGAGACACTGTTCAAAAAGGATCAAGAAGGCATGATTGCCACGTGCTATAGTTTACTTATGTTTACTGCCTGCAATGCACCACATATGACCACAGCAATAGCTCAAAACAATAGATCTGAGTTGAAGCGATGCCAAGTGTCTTTCAACTCCAAGATTGAACCGGAAGCACCAATTGAACCATGAAAGACTCAGAGTGTGATGAGCACATATGCTACCATGAAAGCAAAGAAGAAAGGCCAGTAAAAAACTCACTCGACGTGTCTCCAGCCAACTAAAACAAAGGCTCCACACTTGTCTTCAGCCCCTTGGCCAGGCGGAAGAACTTTGCAAAGAACGGCGGTCGCCAGTTGGTTCCTCAGGAAGCATTTGGAAGGAAAACCCCTTTGAACTATTGAAAACATATTTTAAAAACAAAATGGAGCCCACGAACCCGAATGCAAACACGTTCGAAAAGCTACATATGTCAAAATGACACTCTTGTAGGACACTCTTGTGGGACACTCTTGTAGGAAACTCTTGTGGGACACTCTTACGGGACACTCTTGTGGGACACTCTTGTGGGACACTCTAGAAGGAAACTCTTGTGGGACACTCTTGTAGGAAGCTCTTGTGGGACGCTCTTGTAGGACACTCTTGTGGGACACTGTTGCGGGACACTCTTGTGGGACACTCTTAAGGGACACTCTTGTGAGACACTCTTGCGGGACACTGTTGCGGGACACTCTTGCGGGACACTCTTGTAGGAAACTCTTGTGGGACACTCTTGTAGGACACTCTTGTGGGACACTCTTCTGGGACACTCTTGTAGGACACTCTTGTAGGACACTCTTGTGGGACACTCTTAAAGGACACTCTTGTGGAACACTCTTGTGGGGCACTCTTGTAGGACACTCTTGTGGGACACTCTCGTAGGACACTCTTGTGAGACACTCTTGTAGGACACTCTTGTGGGACACTCTTGTGAGACACTCTTGTGAGACACTCTTGTGGGAAGAACTTTGCAAAGAACGGCGGTCGCCAGTTGGTTCCTCAGGAAGCATTTGGAAGGAAAACCCCTTTGAACTATTGAAAACATATTTTAAAAACAAGATGGAGCCCACAAACGCGAATGCAAACACGTTCGAAAAGCTACATATGTCAAAATGACACTCT